CGGCCCCCCCCCCTTTTGGACATTTCTGGATCCGCCCCTGCTCCTCTCCTAGTAATTAGGGGATCAATAGTTGGTGTGCACATCCCTCCCCTTTCAGGTTCTCAGTTTGGTGATGACAACAATGGGAGAAGTGGTTTTGACGATAATGATGACAATGATGATGATGATACAAATGATGATGATGATACAAATGATGATCATGATAATAATATTTAAGATAATGATGACAGTGCTGTTGGTGACAGTGAGGACAATGGGGGTGGAAGAGTTTATGATGACATTTAATGAAGTTGGTGATTATGACAATGTTTAATGATAATGATGATGATGATGATGATGGTTGATAATGACATTGATTTTTATCTGCTTCACATTAACAGCAACTACACTCACCATTTACACGATGGAATAATGCTTTATAAACCAAGTCTCTAATTAAGCCCTAGGGAGTAGTAATTGAACCCAGGACCCTGGATTAAGAAAGCAGGCATCTTAACCACTACGCTAAGCTGCTGCCTATTCTCACTCCTTGCTATATAATATAATAACTCCTCTTCTTCATATAATTTCATTTGGCTTCCGATATATAATTTAGAAAAAATTTCTTCTTCCCACTACAATTTGGTTGAATCTTCTTCAGGTGAATGACCTATCCTGAGTTCATTTCGTCATCGTCTGATGTCATCCAATGACGTGCACCCTCTGTGTTTTTTTTTTAAGGCAACACACACTAAAAGCTTGTGCCTATTCTCAATCCAGGCTATAATTGTTCTTTAATGATTGCCAAATAAATATTATTATTATTATTAACTCCGTTCTTCAAGTAATTTCATTTGGCTTCTGATATATAATTTAGAAAAATTTTCTTTAGTTTGAAAGGTAATTTCTTCTTCCAGCTACAATTTGTTTGATCTTCTTTAGGTGAATGACCTATCCTGAGTTCATTTCATCATCGTCTGATGTCATCCGATGACGTGCACCCTCTGTGGTTTTTTTTTTTTTAAGGCAACACACAATAAAGAGGCAATATGGATCAGAAGAAAAAGAAACAACATGAACAGAGATGAAGGAGTCTACAAGCTATCTCATATTTACAACGACTGCCTACACCAACCCGGGGAACAGGGCAGCCTCCGGAGAAGACCTAAAAAAAAAAAAAGAGAGGGTGCACATCATCGGACGACATCATATGACGACGAAATTAACTGAAAAAAAATAAAATAAAACTTACCATTTTTGTGGTCTGTACATTTCATTTGAAGCAGTTGATGAGATAGACATCTAGCCAGTGATTTGAAAAGATCCTTAATGAAAAAAAAAATCAATTAACTTTCACTCATTTATTTATCCATTCATTCCCATCCAACAAGAAGCCACTAAAGCCAAATACTGTGCAGGGGGTTAGACACCTGGGCTTACAGTAGGGCTTTTGCCCCAAGACCCAACTTGTCTCTCATGGAAATAGTTAAACTCCGTATTGGGCATTACCTAGCATGGTCACTGACACTATTTTGTAAAATATGTGGCCAAGACAAGCACAACCAGTCACTTGTCAGAGAAAATGGAAAAAAAACATGATGGAATGTCAAATTTTTAAAGCCTATTTTATTGCACTAAACTAACCTTTATATATCTATACATCATTCTATGCTGTTATTTTCCCCATTTTCAATGTTAAAAAAACACTTTTTCAGGAGTTCATGATACTTTCTGCATGAGAATTGCCCAAAATCATAAACTTTGAAGGCTGATTTCTGATATATTGTTCTTTAAACAGTCGTATGTTTAAATGCTTGTAACTTCATAAGGAAATGTCGGATTTGAATGAATTTTTCCCCATTTTATAGCTCTTATTTTACTCTTTAACTATGTATTAATAACTTAAAATCAATTTTTGTGAGGAGTGACTGGTTTGGCTTCTCTTTGCCACAATTATGCTCATTTAAAAAGATCATATATATCCTTGTAATTAAATACAGATTGGATAAATTCTTTTTTTCTTTTGATTTTTCTAATTTACAAAACATTTTAATCCTAAATGTACATTCTTAAAATTAAAAACTAGCCTAATTTATGAGTCTATAACAGAACAATGAAACAGAATTATTTATGCACATATTAAATTAGGAAGAAATTTCACATTATATTTTAATTAAACACTAATAACTTACATATTAAAATACTGAATTCTAAAGTTTATTTGCATATCATAGACAGTATATTTTAGGCTAATGTTCTGTCTCCATTATCAATCTGAGGTTTTATGTGAGAAATACAAATGATCTGCTTATATATATATGGTCATGATGTCATATGACACCTATACAGTATACGGGCATTGAATCACAGGTACTTGTGAGATGAAACTTAATAGTGTGGTTACAGACCTAATAAACATAAGCAAGCTTATGGTGCTCAAATGTTGAGTGAGAGAATATAGACATCTGATGGCATACTATACTCGCTATGTAAATGTCATCGAAGCATCAAGCATATAAAACAAATTTCATAAATAGCAATCTTAGCGGTAGATCTTCATTAAAAAAAAAAAATCATGCATAATTTCAGTGGCAGATTCAAAGGAGCGCAACCGGACCAGAAAGTCCTTAAATTTTTAAAAATAAACAAAAAATTCTAGGAAAAAAAAAAATTATATTCAAATTTTATGTCAGAGTGCCATTTCCTGCCATCTGAATGTGGCACAATCAAGATTTTTGTTACCTCATTAAAACATATGACATGCCTCAATATGGTCATGATGACATCACATCATGACCATATATATGCACATCATGGTTTTATATGGGCATACAATAATTTTTTTGCCCAAGAAAATTTGATAATCTGGACAAATCTTTAACAGTTAGAGGACAAAATGAAATTCAATTAAAATATCAAAAGATTCTGTAAACAATTAAGGTCCAGTGAAAAGATAATAATAAGCATAATTTAATAATAAAAATTAAAAAGTTATATTTTAATGTATTTTAAATAATAAAAAAAATATATTTTTTTCAAATTAAAAAAAATTACCTTATTTGCAAATTTGTCATCCTTGTAGTGTGGGGTCAAATAGTTGACCACTGCGTCCGCTGCGACGCGTCGTATATCCAAACCAAGTTTAGCTTGCGCCTTTTGTTTGTCATACGACACACACATCCCTTCGTTATCAACAACGTCAGGTTCAAATGTGACTTTCTTCGTACTTTTAGCAGAGGAATCGTTACTATTATCCTCTAGTTTTCTTTTCAGCGAGGCTTTTTTGTCAGACACTGTTTCTAAATCCAGTTCCCTTAAAAAAAAAAATCAACACATTGATTGCATCGTTCTTTACTAGCAACCTCTATACATAAAACGCAGAGTGAATGATATATGAAATGCCTGGAAACATCGTAATGGTCCATTATAAAAATCAGTGGTCATAAAAGAGCTTTTATTTTTTGCAAAAGTTTAGGTCGTGAACAATATTTATATAGTATACATGAAGCTGCTACATACAGTAAATCACAGCCAATTGAAGGATGAATTGCTCAGCATGTTTACACTTCATGCAAGCACACTGACAATCTCATCATAGATACTCCTGCTGTACTGACACTGACAGATCAGAGCATTAATTTTTATTAAAGATGTACTGTCATATGACAAAACACAAAAAAAAAATCATAAAAATTATTCTTTATTAAATTAACTTGCTCATTTTGAAGTAACATATTAAAAATTATCAACTTGAACATAGACATTAGTGTATTTAAAAAATGTTTACACATACCTTTACAGTGAAAAATGATAGAAACACATTCAGTCACTGAAAGTGTTGTATATATTTTTATTATCGTTATCCAGTAAATAAATCATGGTAGGAAATGTTTAAATTCAATAATTTCTATGCTGAAGTTTAATTGTATGTTACTGTGAAAAAATGTGCAAGCTAATTTCAAAATTATTAAAAAATTTTTTTTTGTCATTTTCAAGGGACAATACATCTTTAAATAAATTATTTTATTTCATTTTCAATGTTCTTTTCAATTTATTATTTACTTCATAGGTGACAATAAAGCTTTATACAAACCTCTCTTTCTCAAAAAAATATTTTATCACTGGTCGTTTAGATGTAATTCTTCTTTCTTCAGCATTTTTAGGAAGATTTTCTGAAATTTCATTTACATCAGCTGGGTTACCGTGTCTTGCTGTGTGTGAAGCACTGGCGTTCCTTTCAGGTAATAGGTGGCTAGCGTTCTCAGGTGTAATGCAACCCACAAATGTATTTTCCTCTACGGAAGACTTTTCATCTGAATTTATTTTGAAAGTTCTTTGAAAATCTTCATTCTCAGTAAATGTTTGAATATTGTCTGCTTTATCATCATCATCATCATTCTCCTCTTGAAATTTTCCATTATGCTTACATTCCAACACTTCCTGACTTTGTTCTCCTATATCCAATGCCCTTCTAGCTGATTCATTTCGATTTTCTACATTGCAATTTCCATGTTTATGGAAGGGCTTTGTTGCCTCAGTCCGAGGTTTCAGATTTCCACATTTATTATAAACAACAGAGGCACTTAAAAATCCTTCATATTTTGGTTGATCACCATTTGATTGAGAATCAGGTTTAAATCCCTCCTCATCCCTCAATCTTTCAAAACCCATTTCATCACCAAAGTTCACTTCTAATTGGTCACTGTCACTTGTTGTCTCATCCAACAAGTCTGTTCGTTCCGAATTGCCCAAGCTTGACTGGCCCTTAAGCAGGCTTGCAGCAGTTTGGAATGCTGGGTAATTGTTTGGTGGATTTATTCTGCTCTGCCTAGGCTGTTTGAACTGTTCAAAAAAAAATTAACATATCAAATTTTCAGCAATTTTAAAAGGTATTGTAGGGAACAAAAACATTATGAAAAATAAGGTATTTGCTTTGTGGACAATTTTGACCAACTTTACTCTAGAATAATTCAACAAATCAAGGAAACGTGATAATAATTTTCTTTTCATAGAAATTGTAGCTATCAATGTGAAAAAGGCCACAAAGTGAAATTTTTTTCTAGAAATGTGTTAATAAAAAATTCTGAAGATTTATCAAAGAAGTTCTTCATTATTACAGTAACTAAAGGAGGTACAAATGGAAGGAGTTATTCCTACCATTGGTTTGAAATCTTCTTGCTCCTCCTTGGTAACATTTTCCGAACTGGTTGACGTGGCGTCAGCATCACCATCTTTAGAATGAAGTAGTGTGTGGAGCTGATGGCTTTTTGTACATTTCTTTATTTCGTTTGTCTGAAATACAAAAACAATTAATAATAAACATCTTTCCAATCAGTTTAATAATAAAGATTGTAAGGCGAGACATTTTTATACAATGTTTCACAAACCTGCCGCCCGTCAATAACGATAATTTTGAATAAAAATACAATTTTATATTTGGCTAATTAGCGCACCTGTAGCCAAGAAAAAAAAGTTTTTCTTGATTTTTATTACACCTGCAACTGCCTTGAAATCTCCAAAAATAAGATATGTATATTTCTTCCTAAATATGTAAATTTAACAATCCCATTACTACCCTGTTTACATACATACATTTGTATTTTTATTTTATCCTCCATCTGGATGTTTTTGGCAAAACTATTTGCTAAATAAGAAAACAAATTCGAAAACGCGATTCGAACTCACAACCTTTGGTTCCTTAGAACACATCATTAATCGACCGTGCCATCCATGTGATGTGTCCTAATAGTCGTAATGGCAGTAACGTACAGTCCTTGTTAAAACCCCTGTTTTGTTTTGTAGGTATAAGGGGCACCCTGGGGTTCAACTTTCCTGCACGTCGGTTCAAAATTGGCAATGCTGGACGCTAATAAATGTTTTGGTAACAACAATAACAATAACAACAGCAGTGAGGTTCTGGGGTCTCCCTTGCATGGACTCGAAAAAAGTCTCGCCTAATAGGCAAGATTTTTTCACCTCCAACAGCAAGGACATAACTTGCCAAATTACAGGATGTAATGTTGCTTTATGCCTGCCACTTACTGCGGCCGACGGTCATCGGCCGAAACGATTTTATGTAGAACGCAACGCCGCGACGCGTGTGCAACAGATCCTTTTTATTGACGATCTGTTCAGGCTGCCACTGACAATCAGCAGACGGCATTGCACCGTCTAGCAGTCACAGATAGTGGAGTTGGGGGTCATCGTGCGAAGCAGCGAGTGCCCGGCTTTAGAGGTTTTATGCGACTTGGATAGTTGTCGGATTATCTTACCAGACTGAACAGCTTGGCTTTGTACATGTTCACGTGGCGTGAAATTTGTAACATCGAGTGCTCACCATCAATGGCACAGCATCTTGGTTCCCAATCGCTGTGGGGAAAAAATTGACCTGTTAACATGATGATGATGATTAAGATGAAGATGTGATGTCACAAATAGTTATAACAATGATAATTATGATGATGACGATGATGAAAGCGAATGTTATTATTGTATAAAGATCAATTGATATGATTAATGATCGTTGGTGATGATGATAATGATCATGATGGTGACAATGATTATGATGGTGTTGATAATGAAGATTACTTCAATGATAAAAATTACTTATGATGTTGATGGTGACAATGCTGCTAACAATGATACTTTGTTATAATTTCATTGTTTATTTTATCAAGACTGTGACCAATGTAGTCAGAGTTTAAAATATGAAGTCTACAAATCCACATCTGTTAAAAATAATGGATTTAGTAAGGATAATGTGAAGATAAATTATGATGATGATAAAAGGGGATGATAATGATGATGATTACCATATGATAATGATTATGGTGACTGACTATAATTGCATGAGAATTATACAAGATAAAGAAAGATCCAGAGTGGACTAAAAGATGGTAATGTGAAAGTAAACAAGGAGAATGAATAGAAATGATGATAAGGATAATTACTATTAAGATGATAGTTGACTGATCGCAAAAAAGAATAATAATATAAGATGGTGACTATAATATTGAAGATTACAATGCAAAATGGCAAATACAAATATCTCAAACCTTGCAGCTAGTTTGTCTGGAATACTTTCATAAAAGGTCTCGAAATTTTCCTTAAGAGCTTTTTCTAGTAAGCCAAGGCAATGTTCTCTTGTCTGCAACAGAAACAAATAAGTGATAGAGTTTAAAAATGACTTACAAAATAAAGAATACAAGATAAAATCTATTGCCTCCAATAAATATGAAGAAAATAATTACACAATTACATACAATTCAAACAAAAAAACCATATTGAAATTGATCAAGAAAAAAGGTATTTACATAAAATTTCCATAATAATCTATTGACAAAAGCATATTAAAATATGTTAAATATGAAAATGCCTGACACAACTGCGCTTGAAATTGAGGGTGCCTGACTGAGCCTAGGTCTATCCCTACCTATCGTTTATTGTGCCGTAAAGCACACCAAACAAAGGTAGCATTCTTTTTCGTCGTCTTCTCATTAAAGTCAGACTCCGGAGAGAAAAAAATTGTTGATATGTTGCAGCACTGATTTTTCTAAGACAGAAAAAAGTTGTCTAACGAAAAACTGGGGAACGGTGAATGAGATACAGATTTTTGAATATTTAAAAACTGGGGGAAAAGGTGTAAAAAAGGGCGGTTACGATACTTTTTCCTCCAGTTTTTTAATATTCAAAAATCTGTATCTCATTCAGCGTTCCCCAGTTTTTCGTTAGACAACTTTTTTCTGTCTTAGAAAAATCAGTGCTACAACATATCAAAATTTTTTTTCCCTCCGGAGTCTGACTTTAAGTACAATGAAACATTATTGTGACAGCACATTTCCCAGAGTGAAATGGTATCGAACAATTTCATTCTTGGCCTAGGCCCATCCATCTCGCACAAAAAAAAGGGTCACCTGCTAGGTCAACAAAACGGATGTTTCGATGCTGAACACATTGCATTGTTGTCCATAATTGTGCATGATGGGATAAATTATTTGAAGGGTATTTTAAGATAATTTATCGGAGAAGTTATGCTGTGCTGTAGAAACAAGGCCTAAATGTGACACAGTCATTATTAAAAGACACCTGGTCAATAAACAAACCTGATAATGGAAATATTACATTACCTTTATCTTTAGGCCAGCTATTTTTGTACTTGCAGCATCTCTTAGTGGACAGTCCTCATCTAAAAAGAGCGAGATTTCAAAAGTTACACGCGGAACATAAAATAAACTCAACGATAAACTACCAGGTACAAGCTTTAGCAACCTATGAACTTTTAAAGCCTGTTAGAACCCAGGCCCTCACTGTGTTCGATTCGCAATGACGATTGTCACCGACAATCAGCAAAAAACGTCGCGTTGTCAAACACTCACAGGGAGCAGGAGTTGGATTCGTTGGCCGACAGTCGTACAATGAAGTCAGTGCCCAGCTTTACTGTTAAAGGTTAAAGGTTATTCATTTATATTGCGCAAATTAAATAAAAATACAGGTGTAAAACAGATACCTGGAACTTCATTTTCTTCAACATCAGAAATGTTCTGAAAATGAAAAAAAAAAATGTATACATGTTTAAGGGAATAAAAATCAATCATTAGAGAACACAGTAAACTATTTCACAATATAGAACTACAACATGTATGTTTAAAGCCTGTTTTCTACTGTTTGAAAGCATCGAGAAATCAGTAGTTCGAACTGTTTCTACTTTGCAAAGCGAAAAATGTGCGCAACCAATCAGAGCTACGGAACCGAACCGACATCTTCTATTCCAGCGAATAAATTCGCCTAGTGTAAAACAGGCTTCAGGAGAATTTACCTTTCGGCGTCGTTTGAATTCCTCCTTCATGAAGCTAGGTATTGCACTCTTACTAGTTGGTTTTGGTTCCTGAATTTCATCATCGCTGTCGGAGAAGTTGTCTGCATTAAATTCTGATTTACAAGATTCGTAATCGGAATAGAAGCTATAAATAGGAAGAAAGCAGTTTAAGTTTATATAATAGATTATTAACAAGTATTTAAAAAATATCATTTTATATAAATAAAACAGAATATAAAAGTTAAGCCCAGTACGTTGAGAGGGTGGACAGGTGGAAAAGTGCCCTAGGGTGAAAGAAAGTGGTGATAAAATGTCACCCATTTTGAACAACTACTCGTCATATAGCACTGGCATTTGAACTTGTACTGTATTGTTTATTTATTTATTCTTTTATTCATCCTGAATGGCACTTTTGATACAAACATACTGACTTCCACAGTGATTCAGTTGAAAATAAAAGTATATATAAAATCAATTGATAAAAGTAACTTAACTAATAAAAAAAAATGTATATATGTAAAATTATATAAATTTAGAGTTATTTCTGTAAAAACATATTAAATGTTTGCCATTTTGTACAATATAAATTTTTAATGGTTTTTCAAAAACCAAAATACATAAGTAAAAAGCTCATCATCACAGACGTCAAAATAACCATTCAGAAAAAAAGTCGCACATTTATCCATGATTCTTCTTTCTTTCTTTCTTTCTTTATTGTTTATCCTGAGGGACTGCTCAGGGATAAAATCCCTCAAAATATATCAAAAAATATATTCAAAGTATATCAATGATTGTAAATAAAAAAACTTTTGTTACCTCTCATATCCATGTCGCCCACCACCGTACAAGTCTGTAAAATGTGATCCCTTTGGAGTCGTTCCCATCACATCAGGTTTCTCGCTCTTCGGCCCTTTCTTCGTGTAGGCACTGGTACGCATCCACTCCACACGCTGCATTGTCTTTTTGCAGTTCTTGCAGAAGTCGCAGGATTTGTTGCACTCTGGGATGGGGTCCTCAAAATACCGAGCAATGTCAGCATGTCTGCATCTACATACAGAAAATAGGAGAATGTTAAAGATGTTTACAGAATTGCATTTGTGTTCACCATGGATTTGGAAACGCGAACAACCATCGGCACAGATTGTGCATGGCTTTAGAAAAGCTGGTGCTCTACGATTGACCACAGGACCCCAGAACTTAAAGGCAAGTGTCTTAACCAGCTGCTGTTTGTATACCACATAAAACTGCACAGGCCTACCAGATAAATCACACTCCTTAAACATGGCAAGATCAAAGCTAATGAATAAATTTAGTACTTACGACAACCCTTCGCAATAGTTGACAAACCTTTGGAAGCTTTCCATTGATGCCTTGTTGATGGCTGATGCAGCATCACCCTATAAGATATGGATTAGTATATATTAATAATACAGTGACAGATACAAACAGGAGACAGATAAAGGCAACCTGGGGCCAATGAAAGTGGAAGACCAACAGCGCTTTGACATATCTGAGAAAGCCATGGTGGGATGGATGTTCAATATCTCACTTCAAGGTAAATATTGTCAGACTAAACATATTAATTTTTCCAATTTAATTAAAATTCCTGATGCTGTGGTCGAAAAACAACAAAATCATAAAACCTTGATTGCCACCAGGGCTTTTACTTCAGGACTTTGGCAGGAGTTCTTAGGTCACCACATGGTTCAGATCCCCTAATTTCTGGTAGCGACAAAATTTTCCAACAAAAAAATCCCACAAAACATTATTGATTATAATCACCTTCTTTTTCTTCTTTGCTGCCATCTCTTTTTTCATGAAGAACGCAAGTTTATTCCGGTCATCACGGTTGTAATAGAGCCTGCAGAATGCCGGCTTCCCATCACGGCCAGCTCGACCCGACTCCTGGTAGTAACCTGCCATGGACTTGGGCATCGTAAGATGAGCCACAAATCTGAGAAGAAAAAGCATATGCACCATTGTATGTCTTGTGAATCAGTGTTACAAAGCATTATTTAAATTTATACATCACACTTGAGAAAACACTTTCTACGTCTCACATCTACGTATTATTTCATGCACCATAAGTATGTTTATAGGCCAATTTTACACCAACAATTCATAAAAATAAAGTGAATACTTCAGCCATTTAATGTCTTTTAAAGAAGCTATACTGACTGAGGACTGTAATCCATAATTCACAGAAGGCTCTTTATTATTTTCATGATTATTACATACAGGGCCAATATTGAGTCAATAAATAATAGAGGGCGCTATATACATATTATTTTGTCTCACTTATCAAACACTTGATAAACTTACCTGACATTAGCTTTATCCACACCCATTCCAAAGCTAATAGTCGCTACGATAACAGGAACGCGACCTTCCATCCAGTCAGTCTGAACTTGCTCCCTTTCGCTGGGTTTTAAACGTGCATGGTAAGCCTTGGCCTTCAGACCACGATAGCTGAGCTTTGCGGCCACTTCATCACAAGAATCTCTGCTTAATGCATAGACAATTCCACAGCCCTTGTCACCCTAAAAAAATCAAATGATTCTTATTTAAATTTTCATTTAAAAGTACTACATTAAGCCATACCTGCATTAAGCAATTAAAATACAGGTATTGATTTTCCAAGGTTTTTCTCCTATCAAAACTTTTATTTCAGTCATCGAGCTGAAACAAGTAAAGCAGCAACTGGAATTGAACCAGAAACAAGTAAAATGTCAGACACTTGGTTGGAGTTTTTTCTTTTGCTGCCGGGAGCTGGTGGGTTGGGAAGAATGCGCCCCTTTTGCCACCCTGTATTCACCACTGGAAGTGCATGTAAAAAAACACCTAGCACAAATGATCTCCACAGTTCAATGAACACACTGTGCTTATCACCAGTCAGCTAACTGAGTTTAGTGGATTCTCAAATATTTATCTTACCTCATCAGATTTTGCTAAAGCTCTCTCAGCAAATAACTTCAAATCTCCAACTACATCTTCCAACTGATCTTTAAAACGCACTTCATAAAATAAATTTGACCTAAAACAGCTTGTTTTGAACACTTCAGGTTTGTCCATATCCAAAGACTGCAGTATATCTCTCTTTACGCTTGGTGTAGCTGTCGCAGTCAGAGCTACACAGGGTATACCCGGCAGTAACCGTTTAACTCTTCCTAGCTTTAAGTAATCAGGCCGGAAATCATGTCCCCACTGCGATACGCAATGCGCTTCATCAATTACAAAATAACCTAATAGTTTTCTTTTTTTAAGATAAATTAGAGTGTTTTGAAAGTGTTGTTGGGCAGCCAGTTCAGGTGTGATGTATAAGAGTTTGATGGTTGGTTGTTTCTGGTTTAAATCGTCAAGGATCTCCTGTCTCTTTGTAGCACTGATTTTGGAATTTAGACTTTCCGCTTTAATATTCAATTTGTTTAAATGCTCTAGTTGATCTTGGATGAGCGCGATTAGTGGTGATATGATGATTGATATTCCTTGATGCATCAAAGCTGGAAGTTGATAACAAAGAGATTTTCCGGCTCCTGTTGGCATGGAGATAAAGACATCATTTTTTCCTGAAAAAAAAAAAGAATAGGCTTAAATTAATTTTACTTTGGATGTAATACTGATTACAGATAAAATATGTTCTGAATCGGGCAACAACAAAGCATCTCTAGACAAAGATGTTGTGTGGGCTGCACACATAGGTTTTTTAATTTATATCTGAGAAAAAAATGCAATAGGGCCGCCGGTAGCCTTAAGGGGCATTTACCGACACCGTAACACCGCTAATGGACTATATTACTCCACCCTAACCCTAACCTCAACTGCAGTCTTGCTATGTTATTGTTAAGGTTAGGGTGGAGTACTAAAGTGCATTAGCATCCACAATAACTGTTATTACTTCATCATCAATATTAAACAATATGTCTAGTTTTCAGCCTAGCTAGGGCCTAATATATTTATAATTATTTTGAGGTATAGGCTAGAGTCTAGCGCTGACTGAGGGTTTATGTCCTATTTTTTATAACAATATAATATATAGGCCCTATAGGCCTTTTTTTTTTCTTTTTTTTTTTTTTTGTCAAATGTAAACAAACAACATACCATCTACAACACAACGAACAGCCGCTTTCTGGATATCACTCTTAAAATATTTGTGTCCAAATGTCTTTTCTAATACTTCGTAGATTCTTTCTTCAACTGTTTTAGGAGCAGTAGTAACTACATCAGCCTCAGCTGCAGTAGTACAAGTACTACTAGTAGTAGGAGGAGCAGCTGATGGTGCTGTTGAGGCCGCATGTTTCGTCGTACCACAACTAGGCCTACCAACAATGAAATCCGTAATCTTACTACCATTGTTTACGTCTTTCTTAGGCTTCGTTTTACTAGATTTTTTAGATTTAACAGAACTAGTTGTCTTGAACTTCACAGACGACATACTTATTTAATTTAGAACCACATCAATACATATACAAAATAATAAACAACAGACTAAAAGCAAAAGTCAGAAAAAACAGTATCCACCTCTTGTGTTCACGTACAGACAGGCAGGCCTAACGAACGAACTTGTCAAGCGTGACATGACCTTACAGGTCAAAAACTTTAACCAATCACTGCCGTAGATGGTACCGCATAAGTACATTGTGTAATGTTTATATAGGCTACTGGTACTCATTTTAATATTTTTGGAATTACTATTATAATAGAGGTATTATCTTCTGGTAATATAATATATAACATACATTTTATTATCAGAATAATAATTGAAATATAACACTCTCGACTAAACTAAACACTGATAGCTAGGGATTTATAATTGTTTATACGTACATTTTTATCACGAAATGGTAGCTGAACCTGACACGTAGAAAATATAGCTATTTAATTTTTCAAAAGTAAAAATTTTAACGTAGCTATTTTACACGTTCGGGAGTGTGTCCCCCTCCCCCGCCACAATAGCTAGGGTCGCGTAGTGTTAAAAAGGGGAGATATTTAACACTATTTGCGGACAATCTCCTTCTTCATGATCGAATGTCACCGCAGCATAGTCGTCATTATCTGACTGTTCAGCCCACTTTTGGAATCACTAACCAATCTGTAACATACAGCCCATCTGTTGGTTTTATCAAAGAACTTAAAGCCCCTTTCCCGGAAAATTTCACTAAAAACTGACTTTTTTTAGAAAATATTCATTTGCATTACTCCAATTATTATAAATCATGGAAAAATATTGGCATGAAAAAACGAGAAATACAGACTATTTCTCATAAAATATTACCATTTTCTGGACGAATTCATCGTTACTAGGCAAATTCAGAGGTTGTAGATCGCATCCACTGTAGGAATGTCTAAATTCAGTTAAACTAGCAATTCCGTATTATATTTATAAATCTTTATAACATTATACAAAAATTAGATTTTTCTTAAAAACTGAAATTTTGCCGGGAATGGGGCTTTAAATAGCAGAAGAATGAGCTGTTCCGCGTATTTGCATGAAAATCGATGGAACATTCGCCCTCCTGTGGTTGCAGTAAAATTTGAACATTTTACTAAGTGGAGAAACTAAAGGAAACAAGCGAACAAGAGCTGCGCCTTTATTAATTTTATATAGTGCCGCCGCGCGCTTGCTGTAAAATTGCTCTCTGTGTACCCACAATGCCTTTTGAACGGATGTTCCACTATATTGGGAAGCTGCTCTCTTCTTCTGCTATTTATTATCTTTGGTTTTTTTCAAAACGAAAACTTTTTCATTCACAAAGCTTTTTTTCATGACATTGCGCCCATTTTTTTTTTTTTTTTTTATTGGCGTGCTATTATTATTATTAACCTATATTTTTACTATTGATTATTGGTCTCCAACATTTCGTCGGTGTGTGTGTACTATGTGCCATTTTTGGTTCGCAGTTATTCTCCATATTTGAAGATTAATTAATTCCCATTTTATGAATGATGTTCATTTATTTCCATTTTTCCTCCGCAGCATAAGAAAACAAATTCTACCTAATTTAGCAATTTAAATGTTGCTGGTTGGTACGCATATACATTATGTGTGGTGATGTATGTCGCACTTATAATCAAAAACATTCATTTTTTGTTAAAATCCAATTTTGTTCCGATCTGTTTTTTACTCAACTGACAAAATTTAAAAAGATAAAACAGTCTCTCAGTTCAGTGGTGCATAACACCTTTTATTTTACCAGCTCAATACACAAGGGTTACATTAATATGAAAATATATAATACAGATATAGGTATAAAGATATCAAAAATTGTGTATTAAACGAACTGTGTAAGGATCCCTGTCTAGAAGGAAAACCTTGTCTCAAAGGGATCTCTAAATAAATGAATAATAATAAAATAAATAAGAGAGAATAAAAAAAAAGAACCTTTTAATCGAAGCTCGACCACGCCCACTTTGCTTTCGTCGGGGAAATCTGACTCCTCGTGGGGGAATCCCCCTCCCACCGTCGGGGACCTCGGCACCCCCACCCCCCGTTTAGAAAATCCTGGTGCCACCCTTGCTCTGGACCAAAAGAAGATAATGTTTCGGCTCGGTGAAGGGAAATCCCCAGCGTAGTGGTTCATCTGGAGCCGAATTCACGGGGCCAATTTGTGACCATCGAGACTAAATTCTTTGCACTGTACAGTACTTCAGTACATTAATTTGCAGCTACAACAGGCCACCGTACCATGTGAGCCTGTCGCATCCTGGTTTGCTGAACTTTGTACACAAACACGTCACAATCCGGCATGATCTATTTTTTGTTTACCGTTTTGATCCAACTGATGTAATGTCCCTTGAATCTTTCTTTTACGACTGCAAACCAAACAAGTAATATGCCTAGGCCTTTGTAATCGTTTTCAAGAAGCAATATTGTAAATTGTGAAATTTCAACAAATGTCAACGACAACTGCAGCGAATTATGAATTTCAAAGCATACTGGTTGCTCACAAAGTTCATCGCTCCGCTAGCCTTGACTATTCTTGCAGCTGACGTCGCAGAGCAGGTAAGTATTGTATACGTCAGGAGAGGGCTCAGAAAAAATGTAGGCATCACGAGAAACATAAGGCCTAGCCTGGGCCTACCACTCTAGAATACCTACCATTCAGCATTTTTCCAGTGGTAGTGGCAGCGCAGCGGCAGCATTTGTGCGTATTACTATTAGCGCCGCATTTGTCTGGGGAGCTAGCCTACGTGATCTGGTCCGACAGGAAGTCCAGGAAAATTTAGTTGGGACAAGGGGACCTACCTGTTGGGACCGCCAGGCCCAGTGGGTTCAACGTCCTGGCCCACCCTGCTGCCACTCAATAGGCTAGGCCTATTTAATTTAAGAAACTGGTCTATTTTGCTGATCTGAAACGTATTGCTACATGTTCTATTTATGTATTTTTTTTATTATTTATTTAAAAAAAGTTCTTGTTTAGCTGGTACCCAAAAAATATGGGCTTGGGCAGTCCCACCACAGCCTACTACAGGGAAGGGGAAAACTGGGGCGGATGCAGGGGGTGCAGACGGTGCAATCGCATCCCCTAAATTATATTAAGAAAATTAATTGTATTGTATTATTTTTATCATTCTGAAAAAAGAAGCAGTAGATTTTAAAATTATGAGAGTGCAATTTCAGCGGCCACCTTGAGGTCCATATTCATGGTGGGGCTGAAGTTGTGTAGACTCTCACGCCCCCCCCCCCCCCACCACTACCAAATCCTGCATCTGCATGAATCAGAGAGGGTTATTCAAATTGTCATAACTTCTTTTCCCCTGCCATGTATTTTATTTTCTTCAGGTTTTGAATCGAGGATTATCGTCAGCGAAGAATGCCACCGAGATGCTTGCCATATTTGGTATAGCGTACACACTCACAAAATTTGCCTCGGGACCTTTTCAAGAATTCAAAAACGTTTCTTTAGTGTTGGTTCACAACAAGAAGGAAGCGAGGATTGGGTTGATAACACTGTTTCTCCTTTCAGCAATTGTCATCACATTTGCATTATTAATTGGTAAAAACAAAATCTTTTTTTTTTTTATTAATTAAATAAGAGATCTAATTGAAAATTTGGTGAATAACATCTGTAAATTCTTAAATGAATATTCAGAAATTAAATTGTTTATTGTTCAAGGATAAATAATTAACATATTTATAGAGTTTTACTATAAAAGTTGTTAAATTGACTACCAGTTTATGGATAATATGAGGCATGTTGTGGCAAAATGGCTAAGTTGTAACAAAAATTGAAATTCAAGTTATTGGTATTTTCAGATACCTGAGTATGTGGTCTTTAAAACGAGGGGTCATTCATTCAAATTGGACATTTCAAGCTTAAGTTATTGGAAAGTAAAAGTACAGCACTCTAGAGTCAAGATAAACATGATTTTGAGTAATTGCCTTTCAAATTTATTTGTGAATACATTGTTAATAGAATGAACTATCAAAACAACATTAAATAAACAATTTGTTAATCACTTCCAGAACTAATACTTTGGGACATGATTAATAAGACATTAAACTGTTGATCTATAGTGAAAAACAAATTTGGATTTTTAGGCAATTTTTTGAGCTCCCATATTTTATAGCTCATTTACTCAATACTGGACTGTGCGACAACTTAACCATTTCGCCACAACATGCCTCATATATTTGACAACACACTTGCTTTGTGGTCATCGACATTTTATATTAGGCGAAACTTTTTTTATTCCTTGTTTCTCGAACTTATTTGTTTGTAGATTATCAGAGGAGAAATAAAAATAACATTTTATTGGTAAATCTAAACAGTGTAATAATGGGATGGTTAAATGCTTTAAATTTATATATTTAGGAAGAAATATACATATCATATCTTTGGAGATTTCAAGGCAGCAGAGGGCGTAATAAAAATTTTAAAAAAATTATTTTTTTGCTGAAATTTCCATTTTTTGTGGCAGCGGGTATATTAATTGGCCAAAAATAAAATTTTATTTTAATTAAAAATCATCATTATTTGCGGGCAGCGGGTTCACTAAATAAGGTATAAACAGTCTAGTCTACCTAATAAGGTATAAGTCTTGCCTTATTAATATTATTAGTGAAGTAAAACCATCTTTTTTTAAACAGTGCTTATGTAGAAGTTTTGTCAATAAAACTGGTATTTAATTAAAGTACTTCATGTCCAGTGTTTCATTTTCTGCGTAATCAATGTTTTGTCCTAATTTCTTTTTAGCATATACAGACTTTGGGTATTTCATAACACATACGCTCTACAGCTTGGATGAGGATGTGGGCCAAGCTACAAGAAAGGCTGTACTAATGCTGAGTTTCTTCCCACTTTTTCATGGAATGGTAAGAAGATTCAGCATACTGTAATTGAAAATGTAACATCCTGATGCAAGATACAGTACTTTTGAAAGGCAGACAGACAGCTTAGCTCAGTCGGCTAATCTGGTGGTAGCCACTGTGTGTGTACGCTGAACCGTGGAGATCATTATGTTCCCTGTTCAATTCCCATGGCTGCCTGTTCTTGTGTTTCAGCTGGAGGGCTGAAATACAAGATACGATAGCGCACCGTCTTTCGGATGAAACGTTTAAGCCGTTGGATCCATGTGCAATAAAGGCCCATGTGCACATTAAAGAACTCAGTACATTCCTAGTCATGGTATGTAGCAGGTTACCTTTTGCAGCTAAAACACACCGCCCTAGTTGGGTCTGCATCTGTGATAGATGTTGCTGTTCAGGTAAATCTTAGAATATTTATGTTTGTTGTGTATAAAATTAAGGAAAAACAGATACTGAAGGAATATGTCTTTAAATACATTTACTGTATTCTGTATTCTGTTTTTAGATAGGTACTGTTTTTGGGTTACTACAAACGGATATAGTAAACACTACACCGGTATTAGTTCCAATCATCGCTGTCTACACTGGCGTCTTGACCCGGTTCAGTATACTTTTTATCGGGTTTCTCATCCACAGAAGAGTGACAAGGACAAACGTTACTGAAACCCGAACAAACGTAAGGGAATTAATATTGAATATTGTGTATGCTATTGCTTAACATTAGGAAATGGATCTTCCAACAAGTTACAACTTACATTTTTGTTCATCCATTATGCAAGATTTTTTTATACTTTTTTTTTTACCCACCGCCTGCCAATGATAACATTCTATTTTTTGCCAATTAACATACACACCGCCATGAAAATTTGGAAATTTCAGAAAAAAATAATTAAAAAAAACGTTATTACGCCCGCTGCTGCATTAAGATATTTAAAAATGAAAGATTTATATTTCTTCCTAATCATATAAACTTAAAGCATTTAAATGTCCCATTATTATGCTGTTTACATTCACAAATAGAATTTTATTTTATTTTCTCCTCCGTCTCTGGCAAAACTATGTGCTTAAAAAAAACAAAATTTTATTTTGAATTTTTTTTCCACCCACTGATGATCTTTAAAAAAATAGTTTGCAAAACAGGTTATAGAAATAGTCTCGCCTTATCTCTTACACATGAAAGACATATATAAATGCTCAAATATGTTTTATATTTCTTGGATTGTTTAGGAAAGCAGTTTGAGTATTCTACGAGTGCTGATGTTCTGGTGGCCACTTGCAATTGTCCAAGCTGTCCAGAAAATCAGCCGACCAATGATCAATTTGTTTGTAGCCAGAGACCTCGGAGGCTCAGATGAAGCTGTTCAGGTTAGAAAAATATGAAAATATTTGTGTCTGGTAAGTAGCGTATTTCGGGGGGGGGGGGGGATGCGCATAATCATGTTTAAGTAATAAAAATCATCTCAAATCACCTTATTTTCTCAGCTTGCACCCCCTTACCTATTCATTCAGGCCCCTTATGAGCCCCCCTTCAGGGGTCCCAAGTCGGAAGAATCCACCTCTGGGAGATATATTTAAATGAGCTTTCTTAACACATACAGTATTTGTAATTTCCTTGGCACTAACTTGTAGGAGACAAAATTGATATAAACACTAGTAAACACATGCAAATATGAAATTGCGGAAGATGGGTTATTTTCGGGAAGATTCTTGAATGTTTGCTGGAGTGCAAGAGCCCTTCCCAATTTCGCGTCCTTCCCACCCCCCTCCCCCAAATGTGGGTAGGTACCCATCATAAAACTCATTTTTTTGGCTCTACTCTTGCAGTTAAACTTGGGACTCCTGCTCTCCCCCCACCACCAAATATGGGTAGGTACCCATCAAAAAACGAATTTTTAGGGCTCTACCCTATATATATTTGTTTTATTTAGGAAAAATAAAATTGGTGGTGTTCATTTTCTTTCAGGCCATAGCAGTATTAAGCCTAGTGTACCCAACAGGTAGAATTCCATTTGGTTGGTTAAATGAAATGAAGTCTCTTCAGCCCACCTACTTGAAGGTATGAAAGGGAATACTAATAAATGTAAATGTGTAAAAAAAAGTAATAATGTATGAATTTGTTAAATATAAAATATAACTACTGTACTTCATATTAGATAACAATATTCAAAACCATGCTCCAGAGGGGAAAAAAAATATACTAAGACACGGAAGGGGTGTAATAATCGTAAGCAGCTAACAAGATACAGTACTTTTGAAAGGCAGACAGACAGCTTAGCTCAGTCGGCTAATCTGGTGGTAGCCACTGTGTGTGTACGCTGAACCGTGGAGATCATTATGTTCCCTGTTCAATTCCCATGGCTGCCTGTTCTTGTGTTTCAGCTGGAGGGCTGAAATACAAGATACGATAGCGCACCGTCTTTCGGATGAAACGTTTAAGCCGTTGGATCCATGTGCAATAAAGGCCCATGTGCACATTAAAGAACTCAGTACACTCTTTGGAAAAGAGTAGGGGATTGTCTCCCAGTGTACTGCTTAATTCACCACAAGAAATTATTCTTCTTTACTTCCAGAAAGGTCAGAGCACTCCTGTACACAGAAGACATATCAGGAATTTTGATATATGCTGCATATTGCTAGCATTAATGGTATAGTGAATTTGACACGATTAATCAACCAGTCAACTATTACAATCAATTCTTTGATCAATTAGTAAATTAGTTATTCACTAATCTATTGATCATCAATAAATTGGCGACCAATAAATACATAAATCAATCAGTCACTCTATAATCTTTCTCTGATCAGTTAGTACCCAATCAATTGGTTATTCAATCACCAATATACATACATCAGAAGAAATTGCTTAACCATTAATAAACTAATAAATTTCCAATCATTTGATAACCAATTAGATCACCAATAAAGTGATCACTAATTGAATGGATACCAATCAATGCAGTTTGGCGCAGCTGCAGAGGTTCTGCTTGTCAATCTTGAGGTAATTTGCGGTTCAATCCCTCGCTGTGCTTTTCGCTTGTGTCTAGCGCAAGACACTTTACCTACGATTGTCTCCCTCCACCCAGGAGTACAAGTGGGTACTTTGTAGGTTCAACCCAACCATGTGCTGATTACAGCTGCAACAATATTATGGAAGTCTCCCCAGGGACCTGAGTATGTGATCCAAACATTCTTAATCCAATAACTGGTGGAAATAAAGCACTATATAATTCTAACATATATTATTATCAGTAATCAATAAAAACAGTGAACTCAACATTCATTAAATTAATAATTATTGCACATTGATTTATCAGTTGATTGATCAATAGATTAATGAACTTATCAATCAATACATTATTTAATTGATTGATAAATTGTTTTATAGCAACAAAACCCATCAAGAATTTATACAGGATTTGAACCCAGGACCCTGCTGGTGAAAGCATAACATCCTAACCATTATGCCACCGATTTACTTTTCATTTGATTTTCAGATTGGCTTCAGCTTATTTTGGATTCCAGGAATTGTCACAAGTTTCTACACTAACAGTTTAGATTTATCGGCGGAGGTTGCGCTTATGTGTGTTGTACCATTGAAAATCTTCTCGATTTTTCCATTATTCAGTAAGCTTTCACTTAATATTATTTTTTTAATGTTATTCACACTAGGCCAAAAAATATTGTTGTGTTACTTTTTAATAGCAAAAATTTGGATCGTTGGGCTGTTAGGTTGGACCTTTTTTCGTTTATCCTAAAATTCATTCATTCATTCTGCATTTGATATCAAACTCATTGCATTATAAAACATTACTAAATAGTAAGTAGATTTACAAACAATGAAATGATTACAATATTTATAAATATATAATGGAACTAGTGAAATAAGCTCACACAGGAAAAAACAAAACCAAAATTGTTCTGAAGATGATTGAAGCAACTCAATTGTAACGTCGAGACATTCTCAACAAACAACAGTTCTTTTCAGAACTATCTATGTGGTGTACCGCAAGCATTAATATATTATTATTTCACCATGCAAACCTGCAAACAAAAACCAAGATTAACATCACGAGAATAAAACACCAAAACGGGGGGACATTTACACCGAAACTAACATTTGAAAAAAAAAAAAAACAATTGCTACAACATTTGCATTAGCAATAACAATTTGCATCAGGACCAAACGACAAAAACAATACAAAGAGCAATTGCGCCTAAATCTTCCCAAATAAAGAACAATTACAAAAAGAAATCATATGTAAATTCATACGTAAAAAATCAACAATTAAGTATCAAATGGATAATTCTTGTAATTGGAACTATTGAAATAAAATATATCTTACTTTACACTGGGACTCCTTACTTTGGGACTCTTAACATTATTTGATGCTTGCTTTCTTTGTATAGCTGGATGGCGTGCCCACAACACATCTTGGTTGCTCTTGAAGAAGAAAACAACCGCTCTGTTTCCCAGTGCTGTCATGAGACTCGTTTTCCTAATCATTGTTTTGAATGTTTTTCCTAAGATGGGGTAAGAACACATCTTGTACATGTACATCCAACATCCAGTCTAGTACTCTGTCTACACTATTAGTTTTTCTGTGACAAATATCTGTAGTTTTTCCCATTTATGGACATGATGACAGCCCCACATTTCAAAGTGATTTTGGATGAAACACTCATTTTGCACAAGTGCATTTTCATAAGTTTGTCATGCATTTAGCACAAGTTCAGGGAAAATGTATTAAAAATGAAAAGAAATTAGTTCTATTAAAAATGTGAAAATGGTCATGCAGTAACTTTAGTCATTAGAGAGTAGAGTATTTATGTGAATACTTTAATTCACTGATGTGTTACTAAAAATTGATCAGTTTGCATATTCATTTTTTGTTAGTTGGAGTAATGACACGTTTATGTTCATAGTTTGTGTGTGCTCAAATTGAACATACATTGAAACTCAAATTGTACATGGCTTTATTAAAAATATTCTTTGTTTATGTGCCCGGTATTGTCAACAAACGCTACCAAAATCTCTCGGGTTGATAACTATGGATACCATACCCATAAAATTGCAAACCTCATATAAAGCTGTGTCCACACTATCAAATTTTCTTCCACAAAAAACTGCTGTATGATGATGTGCCTATATATGGTCATGATGTGCCTATATATGGTCATGATGTGCCTATATATGGTCATGATGTTCCTATATATGGTCATGATGTGCCTATATATGGTCATGATGTGCCTATATATGGTCATGATGTGCCTATATATGGTCATGATGTCATCATGACCATACTCAGGTACGTCACTTTTGGACTTAATGGACATTTTCATTAAGCCCCATCCCTTGGATATTGTTGCTAAGGTCCCACAAAAACAATAGCGTAATTGTGCGTTTGTTGGACACGCACATATTCCTGGCACTGTTGTGATTGATGCTCCAGAAAAGTCCATTGTCACATAAAATTTGAGTGTAGACAGAGCACTCTAAGTGACAATATATTGATTATTTCTTAATACAGTAAATTCAAATTACTAAATGTTGCCTTCAAGCATAAAAACTAGGTTTACATTCTCATCAGTGTTAGCGCAAGTGTCTGAAAACTGGGGGAGGGGGAAAGTGAGGGGAAAAATACAATTTTAGGTGGACAACATGTTTTCCCATAGCAGACCAGGGATACAATTTAAGATAAGAAATTAAGGAAAATTAACATATTGCTGGTATAATGAGTGTGATAAGCGCACTATCAGATAAGCAAATGCCCTGCTTCAAATTCACTACAGCGATTGTTGTGGTGGGGGGAGGCAGAAACATTTTCTGGGGGAATACTGATGCTGCAACATCAAAGATTCTTCATGTTTAACTTGGAGGTGTCCTTACATGCTACACTTTTATTGTCTTTTGCAGACTCCATGGTGCGCCATTAGGCATTGCTGCCCTGCTTATTGGATTTGTTGTAGAGAGTATATCGGTTCAAATAGCATCATTTATCACAGAATGCAGAATGGTACGTCTCTAACCTTTCGGAACTCATTTGAATATAGAACTTGGCCTGTAAATGGCCACAAGTGATTACTACTAGAGTTATAAAACTGTACTCTCTTGGCTTCCTTCGCTTTTGGCTTCCTTCGCTTTTGGACACCAGTAAATATTTTAAAGAGCATTTTAATAACTTTTTAAATGATTTTTGTTCTTTACAGAAAAGAAACCAGCCAGCTATGGTAACATGTGAACCAACTGAAAATGCAGAGTCTAGTAATGATGGAGAACTGAAGACATCACCTCTTTTAAATGGGGACACAGTTTACCAAAAAGATGACGTACAAATTGAGGAAGGAGAAGGCGATGAATTGATTGAAATGGATTCAAACTTATAGCATATTATAGCACCTCTATTGTAGTGATATTGCAATATTTGGCTTCCAAAATAATGATATAGTATTTTGTATATACATATATTGTTTTATAAAGTGTTCACAATATATTGTAATTGTTTGTAATATCTTTGAATATATTTTATACTTGCAATCATAAAATCTGTATTATATAATAATAATGTGTATTAATGATTACTATATTAATTTAAAATGCAAATTTTTTAAAGGGATAAATTCAAATGCACAATGCAAAACAGTTTCAAAGAGATAAACTTAAGGCTGACTGCCTTGGCTGACAGGCTTTCATCAAAGAGCTGCAAGAGGTCTGACTGTTGGGGTTTCTTTGGAACACAATCCTATTTCAAAAAAAAATTTACTAGAAGGCGTCCTTCAAAAGATCATAAAAAGTGATTATGTTAATTCTGCTTTCGCATTATTTGCAAATTGTAAATGTGGCAATTTAAAATAACAAACATTAACATTATCTTTGTCTTTAGTCTTAATTGTCTCTATTAAAATAGGACAATCACTTAAATATCGATTAATTTTATCATCAATAATATTGCCTAATAATATTATATTATAGATGATAAAATTAATTGATTTTTAAGTGATGCTCTCTCATATTGTCCTGTTTTAAGAGAGACCCTTAAATTGCCATATTTACAATTTGGAAATAATGTGCGAAACGTAAAAAGTATTGTACAGTATTCGTATATGGGAATTTTATATTTAACATCACTTGTGTTGCCTTTAGTTACGTTTTTGTTTTTTGTGTATTTTGGCCATGTTGGCCGCCCATATTCGGCACCTTCAGGACAAGAGCAATTGGAAAATAACCGCGGTATGGACATTGGTAGGCCTACATGACAATGAAGTACCAAATATTGTAATTACCTCATACTATGTACTGAAAAAACCAATGCTACTGCAATACTTTTAAAACGTGAAGAATTTTACCAATTAACTTGATTAACTAAAAACAGTCTATATAGTGGTTTTGTTGACTGAAAATTAAAGATTTATTTTATGAAATATTTGAAATACAATAATTCTATTAATAAATTCTTGATAGTTTAAAAACAGTGTTTGAAGGGCCAAATTATTTTAAAACTTTTTGTCTACACTATCAAATTTCATTAAAAAAAAAAGCGTCACATAAAATGTGATGGAACAAAGAGTTGAACACGTTCAACTTTTTTTTGTATACAATTTGATATGTGATATGACGTCATCGTACCAATATATGGGCACATCATTTTTTTTTTTGTCACATAAAATTTGATAGTGTAGACAAAGCTTAGGAGTTGATGATCTAAAGGTCGACGAAGATAATCTCGGCAGCCGAGTTGAAAGCAATCGTTATACATTTGGGTAAAACTCTTCCGTGTCATAGTTTAAACAATCGTACGTCAATCAAAATACAAACAGTTTTCCACAAGTACGCATGTACAGTAGGTAGGGCAGAGGTGGGCAAGTGCGGCCCACCGACGATTTTTTTTTTTGCGGCCCGCGAAAATGAATTAAACCCCATGTGTGTGCCGCCCGCCAAGCAACATTGGCTAGAAAAACACCTTGTTTTTTACAGCCCCACACCTATCATAAGTAAAAAGTAACATTAAAACTAAGAATAAGTTGGTGTAAAAGTGTTCTTGGAGGTTTTTGGAAGCACACTGGAAACATTAAATTTTGGGTAGGGCCCTCCGGTGTTAAATTAAAAAAATCACCTTGGCTCTCCGACCGATTTTCATGCCCACCCCTGGAAGAAAAATGTATTTTTATGAGCACTGTTTGTTGATACATCACATTTTCGTTAACCATATAAAGTAAAGAATGCTATTAACTAATCACAGTGAACAAAGCAAAATACAGAGATGGAACTTAAAGCAGCACAAAAAGTCGTGGTGATTGTATATGACCTTGAAAAGAAGGCTATAGATCGACTACAATGTACCTTAATATTTAATACATTTAAATCAAATTTAGATCAATCTTAGTAATGTGATTTTAAATAGCGGAGGCGGGTTTAGGTGGGGGGGGGTGAAAAAAACAAAACAAATTTTCTAGGTGGAAGTTTTCCCCACCTCTGTTCCCCCTGTAGTGCCGCCACTGCACATTAAATGCAAACAAAAGAAGCACTTGTTTGTTGACTGTCTCTTATACACATCTAGATGTGTATAAGAGACAGCTTTCGGACATCTCTGAATTCACCCCTGAATTGGCCTACATAATGCCAGCAACTAAAGAACTAGTCTATTTAATATTATGATGTAGCTGGGCATGCATTTTATGGTGATAATTAAAAGAAGAAAAACAGTGGACGGTTTAACATTGTTTTGTGTAGGCCTATATCATTTGAATTTCTTCAATTTAAAAAAAAATGACCGCAATTTTCGTGTAATTTTTGTAGAATTTCAAATGAATATGTACCCACTGTTGTCTTCCTATCGGATTAAAATCTGGCCGAATTTTGGCCGATATCGAAAAAAAGTTTGGCCGAATTTGGCCGTGAAGCCTGTCGACACTTGTATTTCTAGTATCTTTGATAGATAACAGCTCTATGAGTTCTCCACACAAAAAAAGTGTTCCACCGAAATGCATGGTGGGAATACGAAAAACGGGACGCCCCCTACAGCTGGATCTAAAAAAACTTGTGCCAAACTTTCGTTACCAAGTCGTCGCCTATTTTATTATCAATTCTCAACAAAGATACTAGATAAAAACCATAGAGATATAATAAGAATAGAATAGCTCTATGTTTATTACCCAGTACTCCACCGCGCACGGTAGGTTTGTCTGTTTATCTGTTCTCCACAAGATACTGTACTTTTGTTTTCTGCTTACTGAGTTTATAGCGGGCGTACTTCTACCGCGTCAATAGTGTGCCCTCTACCGTTTATTCGATTCATATTCGATTGTATTTTTTCGTCAAACGACGCTTTAACTGCCCTGGAGAAGGAACAGTGGCGTAACGCCTACCGTACTCGCCCGAATGTAAGTGCCCACTTGAATAAGCGCCGATTCCTAAGAAAATTCAATTATACAGTACAGTACAGTACAGATGTGTATAAGAGACAATATACTTTGCATGTGTTCATCGGGAAGATTATGAAACAAAATGGACGGTGTGTACCACGTGACTTTCGTAAACCAAGGAGCGGAATGTCGCAACTCTTTATATATATGGCTCTGGCGCTGCGCAGCGCTGCACTGGGTGTGCGATTTTTTTTCCGTACGAAACATTTACATGAAACTCCACTCGGGCCGTCTCGGCTGAATCGACCCGAAAATCTCATTGCATAATTCAGAAGGTCAAAAGGTCATCAACAGATAAACGTCTACAGAACAACTTCTGAGAGAACGTCGCTGTCTGATTTTTAAAAATACATTGATGTTACCATGTTAATACCAATGGGTCGTTTAAAATAACATATAATATTTGATTAAGCTGCACGAGTAATGAAAAGTGTTATTTTAACTTGAGTTACATACTATGACAATTTTAATTTTTTAGTTAGTCCTGGGTTTTGCATAATTACCTAGGCCTACAAGTAGGCCTACTAAAAACGCTTTCTGGGAAAAGCACAAAGAGTAAGGAAAAGCGCGTTTTTCTTCATCTAATCAAATGAAACAGATTGACAGTTATTTTCAAATTAAGAGAAGAGCTGAGAATAGGCAGCTCTAAAATACTGGATGCCATAAGACCTGCCAAAATGGCAAAACATCAAATGAATGTAAAAATGAGCTAGTTATTAATATTAGGCATAGTAATCGGCAGGTTCTTGATTACAAGGCTAGACCAAGTTAATTACATGTAATGCCGAAATGATAATAATAATATTAATAATAATAATTATAATAATAATAATTTATTATTATTATTATTACCTGTACGTTAAGGGGAACTTAGACAAAGTTGAAATAACACAAAAAATATTCCCCTTGGGCTAGTTATTATTTATAGGCCTAGTAAATAGTATCTGTAGGTTCTTCATTTCAAGCCTTAGGCCAAGGTAATTAATGCTGAAATGATTATTATTATTATTATTAATTATTAATTATTATTATTACCTGTACTTTAAGGGAAACTTAGACAATGGAGGAATAAGAGAACAATTAAAAAAACGACGTTAAGGGGAAATAACACAAAAGATATTCCCCTTGGGCGATTATTATTTATAGGCCTAGTAAATAGTACAGTATCTGTAGGTTCTTCATTACAAGGCTTAGGCCATCAACATGGTATCACATTGACTGTACTGGGATGTCTAAGTTTATGTATGGTGCCTGTCTCTTATACACATCTAGATGTGTATAAGTTAATTACATTACAATGATAGTTTGGACAAGTTCAATAACGCCGGAATGGTATATTATTTATTTAATAATATTTCTCTTATGCGCTCTATTTTTCATTTCATGCTTCAATTTTGTCCCATTCTTTCCCGCCCCCCTCAAAAAAAAATTTCAGTCCATGTCAGTATGTGAAGCGTTGTGTCAGCCTGACCCATAACTGTACCTATCTACACTGTATAACAGGAGGTACTAGCTGTTGTTGTTGTAGATAATATACTAACATTTAATAACATCCAAGAAGGTCACAGTTAGGTACACAGTGACGTACATCACATACGTCCGTGAAATTTCATAGGCCTACCGTAGGTAAACATAGAAAGAGCAATAATAGTAAAACTCGAGCGTCACGACATTGCGAAGTGTCTGCTCTTGTTCCTCGTATCGTACTCACTCGAGTCAATCCGAGATGGCCCGAGTGAAGTTTCATGCAAATGTTTCGTACGGGAAAAAAAATCGCGCACTGGGTAATAAAAATAATATACAACCGTTAGTGGGCGTCCTACACAGGCGTGACGTTTTTACGAACGGGACTTTGCTCTATTGTTCTATTAATTTTATACTCTTTGATTTCGCTCAGGACATTCATGATCCAAGTCATAGGCCTGATGGAACGTCCCCGGATCTTTCTTTTCATTTTACGATTACTGCAAACTCACCAAACAAGTAATGTAGGACTATTAGATGTTTTCAAGAAGCATTGTAAGTTGTGAAATTTCAACAAAGTCAACAAGTGAAACAGATTATGGATTTCAAAGCATACTGGCTTCTCACAAAGTTCATCGCTCCGCTAGCCTTGACTATTGTTGCAGTTGACCTGTCGGACCAGGTAAAAAATTGTTTGTTTTTGAAATTATGCTTGTGGTCACAAACCTTAAGTGCAGTGAAGCGTCGATATTTCATATACACAAAGCACTCACCTATGAAACGCCAAAAGGACAAACAATTAAGAGGCGCAGTGCGAAAGTCAAGTAGCACATAGCAAAGTTGAGTGACACGCAGTGCAAAAATAAAGATGCGTGAGACTTGACAGGTACGTCTGCTGTAGACCATTTTCGCAAAATTTGAATTGAAAATTACCGATAACCTCAACTACCACTGAGGGACTTCCAGAGCCTACGCATGTGCTACGTAGTTCACCAGTGTGCACGTGGCTCTCTATTCGACACAAAGTAGCTGCTCAGTCTGTAGGCTTGGTCACTGGACCTACAAGTAATAGTGATTCTGGTCTTACAGAGGTCAGACACAGTGGCGTCTCAAGGGGCGTGCGGGGGGGGGGGATTGGGGTGCACACACTCCTCCAAAAATTATTTGCGGGCCCCCCAGTCGCCCAACAAAAACAAAAATCACGGTCAAGTAGTTGACCTAAAATCCGTATTTTTTGAATTAGCACCTCAACTCGATCGTCAAGGGCCCCCTTCACCTTCGGTCCCCCCCCCCCACATCACCACCCTCATTTTCAAGACTTCCATTGGTCAGACAATTTAGCGGGGACCAGGGAGGGGAGGGAATCCCTAGTCAGTGGTGGCGCCAGGAATTCCCCGACGAGGGGTCCGAGGTCCCCAACAGGTGGGGGAGGGGTGATGTCCCGACGAAAAGTTTTACAATTTTGCTCCCGCCATGTACTTTATTTTCACCAGGTTTTGAATCGAGGATTATCGTCAGCGAAGAATGCCACCGAGATGCTTGCCATATTTGGTATAGCGTATACACTCACACAATTTGCCTCAGGACCTTTTCA